GCCTGCACTGTAAAGGAGGCTGGTGCCACCTGCTGGGGACCCAACTGCAGTCCCTAGAGAAGGGCTCCATACTCGGTGCCTTGCTCATATCCCCGCTGTGATGATGGCAAGGCAGAGCTGTGCTGGCGGCTGTGGAAGGCCAGGAGGCAGCAGATGAGACATTCCCTGCTCAGGGCTCACTTGCCCATGTGAGGCCTAATCAGTGGGTAATTTTAGCCGGTGCAATATTTCTTCCACATTAACCTTAACAGAGATCACGAAACAGGCTCTAAGGATAGGGGGATAGAGAGGACTCTAGCATGAGACGTGATGCTGCCAGGAAGAACAAGAGTCCTGCTCCTCCTCCCAGCAGCGGGAGGTAGATGAGAGCTCCCTGCAGGCTGTGCTGATAGCACCTCCTGTCCCTGTTGTCTTTGGGCTCAGGGCTGGCTGGGGAGGTCTCCTCTTCCAGAACTTGGTTCTCAGCTCAGGGAGCATCTGCACAGACACAAGTATCGTGCTCTGACAGCAACTGGTGTATGCAGGCAGCGCTCAGAAGCCCTGTGAACACCATGGTCCTGGCTGGTGCCCACCACTGGGGAACATGCGCCCCAGCCTGGCTTGTTGGAAGGTCCAGGACCTTGCAAGTCAACACCCCTCCTTTCAAGGTTCTCTAAGGCAGTTTTCTTTATTATCCATAGCCAGTGCTCAGCAATTCATTGGTTGTGAGAGGCCCGTTTCCACTGTGCCCGAGCTGAGTCACTGCATGCGCAGGATGTCCCCTCAGTATTCTGAGAAGTGGGTAGAGCCTGCAGGCCCCAGCCCTTCTCCTGGACACAAGCATCTTCAGAGATCAGCCTGCTCAGCAGGACTTGCTGGCTGCAGGACAGTGCTGGATGACAAAGCTTGGCAGAGGAAGAACAGCAGTAAGTCTGGCCCTGGCATCCTGGACGACCTATCACAGTAACTGCATTAATGACATTTCCAGAGTGCCAGGAATCCCAGGAGACGTCAAGGCAGCAAGGAGGTGTTGAATCCCAGATGGCCCCTCAACACCCACTCAGTGCTTGCACCATGAGGGCTGGCAGCATTGCTTATGGCAGGAGAATGGTGGCCCCAGGGGAGACTGGTGCAGAGTGCATATGGGAATTAGGCTCTTCTAGTACATGCTCCTTGGAAGAGATGGAGAATGTGAGATGATGTGTGCTAAGCCCTACCTCAGGATCCAAACACACTTCCAGGGATGGGGAGGGGACTGTGGTCTCTGGCCCATGCAGATCCTCTTCTCTGCAAATGGAAGCCTTGCCTCGTTTGTGCAAACAGTCCTGCAATGCTCTGTTCCCCGCACAGCCCAGCACCTTTTCAGAAGCAAAATCAGGAGTAAAGGCACAGGGTTGTGGCAGAAACCGCTGTGCTCTTTTTAGGGCAGTCTTTGCGCAAGGATGTCCCGGATGCACATGTACAGGAACATATACTGGTCCTGAAAAGAGGCAAGGGAGAGAAACGGCTTCAGAGAGCAGTTCTATAGCAGGGCACCCTGGAGTCGTGAGCCATTCAGAGACTGGTTCTAGGATGGAAGGTGATAAATCTCTGAACAGGGTTATAGGATATGGCTGATTGTAAGGCCCGGAGCCTGGATCTGATGAAGCGGGAGATTACTTCCAGTGCTATGCTCCTATGTCACTGGAGTGACCCAGCAGGACGAGTGAGCTCTGTGACTGTAATTACACTGAAGTTTTGCTTTCTGATACCTGGCACCAGGACTATGCTTCATAACCAGATGATGAATTCCACAGAGGAATGACTGGCCCATGGGGATTTGAAAAGTCCTCACCAGTAACTGCACTGCGTGGTCTGGTCAGCATGTGGATGACCTTTTGGTAGGCCTCTGTATCAAAAATCAAAGTTACAAAGCAGTGACAGATCCACTGTTGAGCAGTCAGTCATGCTGGGTTCAGTTTTAGTGAGGCTCTGCTTGGCAAACCCAAAGGGATTTTTGGAGTGACCCTTAGGCAGATCAGGTGTGGGGACATGTGTAGCAGTAACTATCATGTCAGAGTGATCACAGTAAATGTGACTGAAAAATCAATAATCTCTCAGGTCTGCTCATTTCCCTCCTAGCCTGTGCAAACTAGAGCTAGGCAAAGTATTCTGGTGAATCATTTCATTGCTTTAAAATAGTTTCAAGTCATCCCAAGCTATCTGCAAATTGGAACTGGATTCTCCCAACAGAGTTGGCCAAAGTGACCACAACAAAACGTTTACAAAATGCCAAGGCATCCAGTCTCCCCATTTCTGGGATATTTGCATTTGGGGACAAGGAAACCAGGACTGGATTCACAAAGCTACTGGAGGGGGTGGTTCTCTCTGCTCTACCATTGCTCCACAAAGTGCTCATCAGGGATGCAGAAGCCTGGGGGTAAATCTTTGCTCTTAATCAGTGACAGAATAAATTTGGACCTCCCACCTCCAAAGAGACTGCCCTGTCTTCCAGGCTACAATCATCCTCTGGCACAGGGAATACTCGAGGAGGCCATACAAAGTGAACGACATCAATCAGCCAACCCTATAGAAATGATCAGGGCAGAGGCATGGCCAGAGACACATACAGGCTTAAGGTGTCTTGAGTTCAAGGGGGCAGAGCACTTAGGGAAGGAAAAGATGGCGTATATCTTTGCCTAGGTGCAGAGGGGAAGGGCCTGTAGGACGTTGCTTAGAGGATGGCAGCAGGGCAGGGGGAGGAATGTATTTAAGGAAAAGCTAGGTGTCTGCTTCCCACTGGGCTGCTATGACAGAGAAAGGAGCCTAGTTGCAAAAGCTCTTCTCTCTTCTGGCTCCCACAATTTCTGTTACTTCAGTTAATTAATTAGGCAGCTGATTAGCTGTTTGCAGGGGACTTTGCAACTGGGAAGTCCTACGAGGAGTCTTCAGCATTTCTGCTATTAGTTGGGCCAAGCATATCAGGATCCAGCTTCCCCCATTGTTAAAGGTTCATGTGAAATAATCAAATAAGTTGGGTTAAACGCAGGGACTGGCACTGTGCAGCTGGTGGATGGTGCCATCTAGCGGTGCGTGTAGGCTGCTCCCCGTCGAGCTTCCCAATCACTATGCCAGGCTGTACCAGGACCAAGCCACCAACAACAGTGACACCCCATGGTGACCCTGCGACTCCTGCCCTACGCCGTCTCTAGGTCCCTCCCTTCACTCCCACTTGCCAAGCTTGCATTGATGTCCTAAGTTCAGTTTTGGAAAGGAGGCTGCCCAAAGATCCTAGAGTGAGCCTCTTTCTTTCTTCCTGCCACTAGGTTCCCTCTCAGTCCCCGCTGATCCTTATCTCCCTCTCATTAGGTGGGCCCTCTTGGCCCATACGTGCCCTGAGGACACTCACCACCTTATGGGTTATTCACGGCCTCTGACCTCCCCTATCGGCATGCCCATGTATTGCAGGTGTTAACTGTCCACCCCAATCTCCTTTCCTATAATGCAGGCTTCAATATTTGTATTTTCAGTACTTCAAGTCTCTACTAGGTCTCTATATGCCTTTAACAATCCTTGGGCCCCTTGGGCCTGGTCTCGCCCCCCTACAGCTCTGGGCCCCTGCCCCTGTCACCACCCTTTTCAGGTGCTGGGTCCCTGGCCCTATTTCCATTCTCCTTGAGTGATGTGTGCTAGACGCTCACTCTGTCTTTCCTAGACACTGGGCCCTGGCCATCTCCATCCCTCATGGACACTGGGTCCCTAATCCTGACTCTTTCTCTCTGCCCTCTCTGGCATTACACCTCCCTTAATTAGTCCCAACCTGATCCACCAGTAACAATTCATGCAAAAAACATAGGCCTTCCAGCTATAACTAAATTCTCAGCCCACTGGCTTTGTAATAAACTTCTACTCATCTTGGGATCTTAATGACCTGCCAGCCCTCAGCCCCTTACTTCCTGTCTTCAGGTATCGCAGAATCTCGGTCAGTCTTTCAGCAATAGGCATCTTACTGCAGAGCTCTCTCCTCTTTGGTCCCCAGGCCCAGACTGACCACTCTGGCTTATATGCTGCTCAAACCCTGCCTACCTCCAGCTCAGGTGACTTGCTAGCCCTGGCACAGCTACCTCTCTCTCATTTTAATGGGTAGCTAGCTGTTGCTATCCTGGCTACTATAGCAGTGCCTCTGTTGCTTCAGCAGTACTCTGCCCCGTTGTACTATTCCTTTGCAACTTGTACAGCAATAGGTACTTTCAGCTTCTGGACTCTGAGTGCCTATCCCTTTGCAGCTAGCCCTTATTTGTCTGCCTGAGCACTGTTTGCTAGTGTCTTTCCCTCTGTAAGTAACAGACGCTGTTGGCTCACTGTTAAACAG